CAGGTGTGCGTCCCCCTTTCCAGACCCTGTTCCCACTGTGGAGGTCGGTTACCAATCGGGTTTCACCCCATCTCCGGGTGCACGGCTTTCGTGCCGTCCTCCTCCGAGGCTGAGTCTGTTTAATGGTTTACTGTCTCTGTTCTATTAGCCCCGAGAAGTTCGCCTGGCGCCCCCTTTCGGCGAACCGGGGTGACGTCACGGCGAGGAGAGAATTTTTCCCCGACTCGCCCCGCTCGCCCTGTGGAGGCTGTGACGACGCTAGCTGTCGGCGCGCTCCTTTCTATTTACTTTTTTTTTTTTTTGCGTGCTTTTCGTAGGAAGTGTAAATTTTTATATACGCCTTTATTGAGGTATGGCCTGTAGCTACAGGCGAAACTTCAACGAACATTTTAAGCATGGCTGACAGGCCAGGCAACGCATGAACCACAGCTGGTATGTGAAAATAAAGAAATATGGCCACAATTGTAGGGGCATCACTACAGATTTACATCTCGCACAATAAACGCTGCTGATGGTCCGAATGAATTGGCAGGTTATGTATACTATATTTTTTTTTTTTTTTTGTATCTCTGTCTTTAAACAAGATCGCCGAAGCAGAAAAGCTGCATGCTGCTCGAGCAACGTGCTGAATACAGTCTCGGCCATGGGGAGAGAATCACAAGTAAGACAGCCCAAGTGCAGGGGCAAAGTAAAAAAAACAAACAAGGAACATTTATTATATACATTGCTCGCACTTGACCTTTGCTGGATTCGGATAGTATTTCAATGAACTACACGGGTGGTATCTGTGGACTTGTTTATATCAATCCTCAAGTAATATATAACAAACGTAAGTTAAGGTGTCTAGCTCGTTATTAGTCCATTAAGCCCTAAAATTTAGATTTTACTTAAATCGAATTGTCCTGAAGCTAAAGTACCAGAAGCTTTTCTCACGCAGACTGTCGCCCTTCACAGGTTCCAAATTTTCTGCTACCAGTGCTGCATCTACCACTGGACAGACGTTCGAATGCTTGCTTTTACTCCTGTTTTCCTCTGTTGTCAGAGAGTCCAGTTGCAGGGAGTTTGGAGGCTGAGGAAGCTTTTGGGGACCTGCGGCAGTGACTCTTAAATGGAAATGACAATTCAGACTTAACGGTGTATTTTCCGAATACCAAAGGCTGGAATAAAGAATGTCAGGAAAAAGCATAAACATTCCAAATTACGGCACTATTGCTGTGCATATTTTGGGCAGTTTACTGCATATCATAGAGGCAACTGGGGAAATTCGACCGTTTTTGCTGCTGGCATACAAACTAATTTCCAGTAATTGTGAATCCTCTAAGAAATATGCCTGCATACGCGTATAAACTATATAATTAATTCAGGAAGAAGCTACATTTATGTAAAACAACCCTGTTTCATGAGCACTTCAAAGATCATCAGACGCAGGGCCTTTAAAACATCTGCAAACCAGCGCATGCAGAGTGGCAGCGCAGAGTCGGGGTCGCGAGCTAATTTGCCGACCACCGAAAGGCCCATGATATAAAGGCCGCTTCAGATGCCTTGAAAGCGGGATGTAATATCGTCCTAAATCATGAACATACAAGGAACATAATTCCAGTGTCTGTAACACTTGCGTCACCGCTTCACCGACCCCTCTCAAGATTGCCGTGTGCCTAGTGGACGGACGAGGAGGTTCATCGGCGTAATTGCCTCCGCCGATAGTTTTCGGGATTTGTAACCGAATTTTAAAGGTAAAAGGGACAAGCAGGCTTATAATATGTACGGAAGCACGTTAATATCGGCCTAACTCAACGTCTTGTACACCGGGTGAACGAAGTCCGGCTCCTCGAAGAGCTTGCGGCACACAACGCCAAACCAGGAAACTGGTGCTGGGAAGCGACCCGATGCGAGATCGCGGAGCGGGGTACTCGGCCTGACGTCACGGCACACCTCACCCAATCAGGGCGCGGCGACCGCAGCGACGCTTGTGTTCGCTCTCGGGGCTAATAGGTTTAATTAAGGTTGGAACACTGGCTTTGCGGAAGCGATTAATGGAAAGTTCATCTCACCTCCACCTCCCTTTTTTAACTTTTTTTTTTCGCGTTGGCAATTGTGTACATTTATTCTGTGACGGCTTCTGAGCTTCATTCATTAGAGAGTTTTAGTAAATCGTTCCAGTACCCCCAACAACGACACGATGCCTGCGCAAAGGCGGCGGCGGCGGCGGAGTAGTGGGTAGCGTTATTGGAGGCATCGGAACGATCTGCTAAAACTCTCTTTACTCGACGCTTTTGGTCTCGGGCGTGCACGGTTCGGGACGGATGTGTTTCGATGTACTACATCGGACATGAAGGAAACGCGAACGGCGAAACGCGTAACAGCAGAGGCGGCCGTCTCAGCTCTCACCTCGACCAGTGTTTACGACGATAGATGGCGGTGGTGGTCACCTTTCCTAAGGGGAAAACACGGAGGTTGCGCGAGTCCAGCCGTTCAGACTCAACAAAAGCTGCCGGCGCTAAGTCGGCACTAGAGCCACTAAATAAGCGTAGCTTATTTAGTGGCACTAGTCGGCACCTTAGTGTTATAACGATAAACGCTAGAGGCTCAGGTGGCGCTAGTGTGCTGTTGCATTTTGAAGCAGACAGCGACCAGTCTACATTTGACTCCCGGTAATGCATTCCTATGGGAAAAACGGAAATCTCTCTTCGCGCTCGATTATAAGAGCAAATATTGCTGAGTGGGGTGACAGAATAAAAAGTTAGGAACCTTTTACAACCGGATGTACAGAAATATGTGTGGGAGCGTTTTTCTTTAGAATTGATGGCGTCGAACACTGCGCTACAATAGCCCAATACACGTGTATAATACGTGTTGATGTTGCAGACTTCTGCTATAGGGCACGTATTTACGCGTATAGTCAATGGTACGAAGCACACAGAGTGAATCAGTTCACAAAACTCCAAAGGGGGATGCCAAGGGGGGAATCGGTGGCCGAGTGGTCTGGCGCACACCAGCTCGGAGCACGTGGAGCGAAAGCTCGCGCTGCAGAACCCAGGGATTCTGGGTTCGAGCCCCACCCCTGCCCGTTTCGATCTGGATGAGCATCGTACCGGCGTGCGGTCGTGTATCACTACTGCGTGGTGCACGTTAAAGACCCCAGGCTAGCGGTTGTACCGCACTGGCTAAATTGCTCATCTACAGCTGGGAGACTCGTCGCCCCTGTGAGGCAGACCAAGTTCTAGGCTGTATAAACACACACACAACCCAATTTTTTTAATATACGCCAAATCAAACAATCAAAACAGATGACAAGAACGAAGCATGAGGTTACGGAACGAAGAACACGTACTGGATTAGTAAGAAACTTGCATGGATGATCAAAATAAAGCAGTAACCGAGTGATCTTTTTTTTTTTTTTTTGCTTTTTAATTGTCTTTTTACTTAAATTGATAGTTTGTATTAACATATGTTGCACAACATAAACCTGGACCTTAATTTCCGCTAACTTAAACATCGCTCATAAATAAATAAAAAAATTAATTAAATAACATACACTTTTATAACGTGAATAAAGCTATATAGTACCCGTTACGAGTGATAAAACTACGCTGATTTCTTTTTTATACGCTGAGGAAGAGAAAAATATCACGTACGTTTGTTTCCCCGTAAGAATCCACAGGACGACTGGAAGAGTAGGCTGGTTGCTGTCTGCTTCAATTTGCAACCGGAAGTCCCGTAGGCACTATGCCCCGTTTCACCTTATGATGTACCGCAGAAAAGGCTACAAGCGCGAGCTCCTTGCTCTGGGGCACATCTCGGTGGCCGCGGTGTCGGTGGCACAAGCTCTCGTGCGTTAAGAGCGGCTCCCAACGCTATGAGCTCGCGTTTCTAGCCTTCTCTGCGGTACTACAGAAGGTAAGTATAGCGCCAGCTGAGTGTCTAGCGTTTATTGTAATAGCTCAAGGTGGCTTGTCTTAGTTGCCATGACAATCGCCACTTCGGATCTTTAGACGGCGTTCTAAAGATCCTTTTCACTAAGCTCCTTTATAAAATCGGCCAATCAGCTCGCGATGTGGAGTGCGTACGCGCACTACAGCGTGCGCACATGCTCTATGGCGTGCGCTGGTTCGCCGATTTTATAAAGGAGCTTAGTGAAAAGGATCTTTAGAACGCCGTCTGACACGGCTCATTCCATGATCCAAAATGGCGTCCATACGGGGAGCTTGGCGCCATCTTCCCAGGCTCCAGTGACATGAGTCGGCGCTAAGACCATTGGAATTTTGTCGCAGTCGCAGTGAGATGAGCACCCCTAGGACAGTATTTAAAGGGGCGAACTCCGCAAGTAATATAACCGTTCCGGCTGTTCATCACACTCGCTATAGTCCTTTTTTTTTTTTTCTTCTTTTTGCGCTGATTGCCTACATGCGTGGTCGTTTTTGCACGTAGCCTTTTTCTTTTTGCAGTGTTCGGTATTTTAAGAGGCTGTTTTCATCTCGTTTTTTGTGCCCTTTGTTTTCCTTTCGAAGGAAAATGTGACGTCAGAGATAATTGAGTTTTCTTTCTCTGACGTCTCGGTAATCGTGGAGATAACTGACTTTGATGATAATTAAGTATTTTCTAGCGGAAGCTAACTCAAATTCCGCGTTTTTCCATGACGTACATGTGGCACGTCACGCGACTCGCCGTGCGAAGTCGTGGTGTGGAACCTGACGTGACGCCAGCGATATCAGGTGACGTGACCAATCGGAGTGTGCGAGGTACGAAATCGTGATGAAAATCCACCGCTTTTCATACGTAGCAGTTCTGCCTATGACGGTTTGACCGATCAATCGAAATATACGTACGGATGGCTGGATGCTAATAGCTGTACCTTTTATAACGGGCGGCAGCTTGCGCTAGCAAGCATTGAAACCAGAAGTGTGATCCATCAACTCGCTGTTCTAAGCCTTTTCCTTCTGTTTTTGTTTTTTTTTCTTTTCAGTTGTTCAATATACGGTTTTTGTGCGTTCTTGTTCTAGCAGGTGGCTCGGCCGCAGCGCCAGCAGTACGCGGCGGCGGCAACGCGAACTCCTTCAGGGGTGCGCTTCAGCAGCAAGGCACCAACAGATCGCCCAGGCAGGGAAACGTCACTTCCGGTTCGTCCAATGCGGCGACGTAGCTTCCGGGCAAACATTGTGTCATCTGTTCATCGCCTGTCCCTGTCTTCACCATTCATTTTTCTGTTTCATTTTGGTGTGTGTATATGTGCGCGGGTGCTCACGTGGTACGAACTTGACGGCACTGGTTCGCAAGTTTGTGACGTCATTTAGAAAAAGCTCTGACGTAGCTTCCACCTAGCACTTAGTGACTTTTTTTTGTATGTGTGTTTTGGCGAACGCTTATGTCGCGCCGTTGGGTGAAGAACAAGACGATGTCACCGAGCGGCTCACGCGCGTGGATTAACGTTTGGCGCATTTTTTGACCGCTCGTGTTCTGTGACGCCAGATTTCTGTGACGTCATAGACATGCGGAAGCGGAAAACGGTGACATGAGCGTTCTGTGCGGTCGGTGGTTTTGCCTGTTGCGCCCCTTGTATTGTTGGTACATGGAGAGGATAACGCTAAGGATCACGTGATCGGAACGCGAAGATTTGTGATGGCGCGGAAAAATACATTAGTGACGTCAGGTAGCAGTGGCGTCTTGTTAGCAACGTTGGTTCAACTATTGTGCGACTTGGTTCACGATCACGGAGAAGCGTTTGCATTTAGTGGCATTACTGCAAAAAATCTATATTGTCCTCTTGTTTAGTTTGTATAAAGATTACGATGTGTGCATGGTTGCATGCCTCACGATTGATCCTGCCTTGTGTAATGTAAAATAAAGAAGTGTGTTAAATTTATGTGTTTGAAATATTAGTCGTTGGGAATATTTTTTTTTTATTCTGGTTATTGTGATTTGAGTTTAATTGATAATGGTATGTGCTGATTGTCGCCATTTTGTTTTGTGGCCGCTTCTGTGGCACGATTGTTCGGTGACAAGGCGTGATCGGCATCGGAACTGCGTCATTGTCATCAGTTTCCTGGATGGATGAATGGCTGAGGCCCTTCGTATCGGGCGATAGCTTGCGACACCTGGCCTTAAAAAAAAAAAAATTAAAAAAACCTTTTCCAGACTTTTCTTTTTAATTCTGTATTGGTAAATTGTTTAATCCAGCGGCACAATTGCGTTTTCTATCAGAAATCTCTCTTTTGAAATCTGCCTCCACCGATATATCTTCGGACAGAATTTGTTCGGCTGAAAATTGTAAATTAATTTAAACTATTCGTACGTCTGGAAGTGATGTCTGCGCGTCGGCAGTTTTTGCAGGTCTTGCGAAGCGATGTAGTTCTGGCAAAGCTCTAGAGATGGCGCCAGGGGTCAGGTATGTTAAATGTCTTCTGTGTGTAGTGACGTCAACGGAGTAACCTTTTCTTTCTGCGCTTTTAAGTGCAAGTTGCGTGCACAGGCGTTGGCTCAGTGGCAAGCGCGGCAAGCCATCTAGTTTCAGTGAGCCGCATGAGATGGCGCTGCGGGTCGTGTGATTCAGATTGGGTGCTGCATCGTCTCGGCGACTGTCGCGTGATATGGGAAGTGCGTTTCCCTAGCGGGGGCGAGGAAAGCGTTTGTGATTGGTCCTCAGTTTGCGAGGCGATGTTCGAAGCAGGGCGAATGTGTGCTAACAAAAAAAAAATATCTTTTTTTTCTTCTCCGGAATGATATTTGTTGGTCTGTTGGGGCTTGCTTCTGATCGTGATTTTAAGACACGCGATTTCTTTTGAAACTCGTTACTTTGTTTTGGGGGGGGGAAGGGCAAAGAGGTCGGCCCTTTCGGAATCTTTTTTTTTTATTTCCCCGTTTGTAGATAATAAAATTAGAGTTATAATTTTTCCCGTCTGGCTCTGTCTGATTGCTACGCTCTATACGTAATGCGAAAAGTCTGTGCCATGTCGCTATACGCCAGCACGGTGCTTACAAAAGAAGCCCGCTTTGCCCGCAACAGGCGTGGGCACTGCGCCTGCACAGAAACCAAATTCGGGAGGAGGGAAGCGTTTGCGCATGCGCACACCGACAACCGCAGTGGCGTGACGTCAGGGTTGAGTTGGTGTAACGGCCATTTTAGAGCGCAGCTCTTAGGCGCCCGTTTCCGGCTTGAGCGGCGTCGGCGTAACCGCGAGGTCACGTGCTCCCCCTCCCCCCGAAGTCACGTGACACCCCCCTGAGCATATTCAAGAATGAGGGGAGGAGGAGGAAGGGTCTACCCTTCCCTCCTCAAGAGCTGCGCTCCAATTCGGCATTACAGGGAGTTGTAAACGGCTTTCACTTTTTAGAGCGCAGCTCTTAGGCGCCCGTTTCCGGCTTGAGCGGCGTCGCCGTCGGAACCGCGCGGTGCATTATGGGTAAATTCCCCGCTAAATCTAGGGTAAAAATTTCACCGCTAAATCTAGCAGAAAAATTACCCGCTAAATGTAGCGGAAAATTTCTCTGGGGGTCACGGGACCACATCCCCATGTCACGTGCCCCCCCCCCCCCCCCCCCCCCCCCGAGAACCGGTAACCCTCAGTACCTTTCCCTCGTCCTCAAGAGCTGCGCTCTAATTCGGCGTTACAGGGAGTTGTAATCGGATTTAATTTTTTTCGTGGCGCCCACCATGTTGAACTACGACGTGGCTGAGTTGAGCCGAATAGTGTCACTGAATACTGTCGAAGTACCGCATTCCCATTCTTTAATGCATTGCCGACAACAGTCCCACTCTAGCCATGTACAGTGCCCCTCAAACTTAACGCCGCCACTAGATCGTCCGGTTTATTCACTTGTTGAGCTATTCCTGAAGCTAGTGGTCGAACTACTTGGTGAACATTCGCGTCCCCGACGAGAACCTAACCAGGGGAAGGTATTCGAGCAGCTGCAGCGACCAATATATCTTTGGGTAGCATGCAATAGATCAATATTTGCGTAACCGAGTGTAACCGAGTGGCGGCGTTAAGTTTGAGGGGCACTACGATTCGGTTTCCTGCTTCATCAGTGGACGGAAACAGTCGGGTGAGACGTGTGCCGTCACTATCACGATCACTTTTTCGAATCTCTGCCATGAGCCACCATGTTGGGTGCTCATGGCGGCGCACAAATTTTCATGGAATTGCATTTTTAAGGAACGGGGCGGAGGAGGGGGGGGAAGGAGTGAAGGGCATTGAGGACAGAGGAGTCGTTGCGAATTGAGGGGTGCCCAAAGACAATTCCAAGTCCACTGCAGGAAGCATGCTTCGTGAGGTGAGTGCATGTCGCTGGTCCCCTTCCGCGTATTGCTCGTCGCCTCGCAGCCGATCGGGCTACTTCGGCTTATGGCGAATTCGCGTGGTTCTTTCTGCGCGCTCTCGGGCGCTCTTTCCAGAGCGCGCGAGATCGGGTCGTGGAAAGAGAGCGCGGTGGCCTGATCGGCTGGTTCTTTCCAGTGTTGGACAAAATACTCAATAAAAGTATTTAAGCTACTGAATGCCTGCTTCATAAAGTATTTAAAATACTAAAGTTACTTTCACTGTAAAGTATCGTGAGTAGAGAGTACAAATACTTAAAAATGTTATTCAATTACTTCTGAAGATACTTCCGCATTGCGTTATTTCTATCGGCGTCAGTGACAATTGTACAGTTGCCCAAATCTAGTTTACCAGAATGGTTTATTAGCACAGAACAGCATAAAATGGCGAAGAAAACAACGAAATACATTGTGGGGTTATTTTATGCAGACCAACTATAAGTAGCAGGATATCATTGATACGTGTTACGCATCATTTCTAAGACAAAAAAAAAAAAGATCGCTTAAGTTATATTGACATCGCTGAATATCACGTCCTGCGGCGCATCTTAGACGCATCGTTTAACTGCCAGTCATATTCGCTATATGGGGAGTTCACTATAAACAAACTTGGAATACGGAAATGAGTGAATGGATATCAAAGAGAGCCCACATAATAGTCACGGCACTGGTCGCACCTTCAAGTAGGTTGCGTCCAGGAAGGCACACAACGTTGGGAGACGCTTTGTTGGCATTTTGAGAGGCCATCTTGCTCGTAGTTCCGTTTCTGCCCTGTTCTCTGCATATCAGTGTTCGCTTACAGACAGTTCGCGAGAGCAATAAGTGCTGGACTGGCGACAAAAAGAAAAGAAACTAAAGAAACCTCGGCGCTTTGCCGTAGCAAAATCAAATATACAAGCCAAAAAAAAAAAAGTATTTTGTGTGTGTGTGTTTACTTCTCATTTTCTTCTATTTGTTCTTTTCTTGACACTGAAGTCTGCATTGTAGTCGTGGGTCGTTTCCCGTTCTGTGTTGCGCCTCAGTGTGGCAATCTTCCGTAAAGCCACCCCTTTTGTTTAAGGATCTTTTGGGGGAAACTCTAGGAAACAAAAGGCGCGTTTGAGAAGGCGAGGGGCAAATGTTGATTGTACAAACTTTAATTGAAGTATGAGTCAAAATCGGCACAAAAGCAATGTTTTCACGAGCTCAGTCTAAGTCACCGTAGCATATAGGAGCTAGCAACAGGATTTGGTTGCTCGAAAGAATGTTTACGTTTGCTCGATCGTGCCACGCTCACACCATTTCATACCGAAAAACTCAGAAAATGCCGGAATGTCAAAAAAGTATTTGAGATAATGAGCACAAGATACTCAGAAATGTAATTAAAATACAGTATCAAATATTCTCGATCAAAAGTATTTGCAAGATACCAAGATACTTCAAAAAGTAGTTGAAATACAGTATCTTGAGTAGACTATTTTTGAGATAGGCACAAGTCCAAAACTTTTTTCCAAAGGCGCCCTTCCCTCTCAGAGCGCTCCCTAGCACTCCGTCTCTAGCCGTCGGAGTGCGGAGCGGCGCAGGCGTCACGTGGTACTTGGACGGGGATCACGTGGTTTTGGTGACGATGGCCTGCAGTGGTCTGTGGTGGTGTGCGGGGTCCGGCATGACGGCGATTGATATCTGGTTCTACAAAGTGCTTGTGTATTCGACGGTGCGAGGATTACAACGGACGGGACGACATTTGTTGGTGACCGTAACAGGAAAAGTCGACGTGTGAAATATTCCCAGTGCTTTCACGAGATCGTTCATTTCACGGCTATGAATCCGCTAAACCTAACGGACGAAAAAACGGCTCGCAGAGCTCGCTGCTGTTTTACCTAAAGCCCTTTCATGTTTGAAAAGTAGCGCAAGGTGCGTTGATTCACGAGGCACGTGCAACGTGCAGCCTTTGGGAAGGTCATGGCGGCACAGCCCAGCACTGAGCCACATTTGATTTTTCAGCTACGTGCTAAAGAAATCAATTCGCATTCTGCTGGTTTTTTTTTTTTAGATGTTAACGCGTAGAACAGTTTACGTCACAACCTTTATTTCATCACGTTGCGAGCGTAAAGTTTGCTCAGTCGTCTACCGTACGCTGTAAAATCTTTTTTATGCATTATTAATGTCAATAAGTACTTCCTTAACTGGTCTGAGAATGTCAGAGCGCTTTGAACTCAGCAGTTGTGATCGGCTGAAAAGGATCCCGAAGGGGGCACCACGAGTTTGTATTTTGTTCCAAGCCATCAATGTGATTTCTTTTTTTCTTTTTTGGAAGGGTACCCATACAGTGCATGCATAATTTAGAATCCGTTGTACATAGGCAAGATATGCTAGTTCTTTTATTTTTTGCGTAGCGTTTTTCAGTTTTTTTTAGACAAAGCCAAGTGCGCGACCCGCCCTCATAATGGCATCATCAATCTGCGAATCCCACGTGCAGCCGGATGACAATATGACTCCGAGGTATTTTACTGTATTCTTATTCCTTACTAGCTCATTATTTAAATAATACTGTGTCTCAATTTTATTTTTCTTACGTGTGAAGCTAACGTGAACACATTACTTTAAGTTGCATCCCCCATTCACCGCACCAATGTTCTATTCTATCTAGGTCAGCCTGCAGTTGTCTGGAACCCTCCCCGTTCTTTATACTACACGTGTACACAACGCAATCATCTGGATATAATCTCAATTGGGAAGTTACATTGACATGAATATCGCCGATAAATATTAAGAACAACAATGGCCCCAGAACCGACCCCTGTGGTACACCAGACGTAACTTCAACAAGATGAGACGCCTCGAAGTTTAAAATTACATATTGCTGACGCGAACTCAAGTATGACTGAATCCAATATGACAAGGCCATGATAGAGCTAGGTTAGTTGCGTGATAGAAGAATAATCCCTCCGAAACCCATGTTGAGAATCCATGAAAAAAAAAAAATGGTAACTAAACCATTCTGATGTTAGCCTGAGACTGAGGCAGGAAAAGAGGAAGTTTCAAAGTAGAAGAAAAAGGAACAGCTGTGTTAGAGACGTATCCTCGACTGTTCCTTTTTCTTCTACTTTGAAACTTCCTCTTTTCCTGCCTCAGTCTCAGGCTAACATCAGAATGGTTAATTTCCACCAGCTCGCCTGCGCACTCACTACAATATCATTTATTATGGTAACTAAGTTGCTGCATTATCTGGTTAGACAAAATATGCTCAAGTTGTTTGTAACAAATTGATGTTAAATAAATTGGCCTGTAATTTGTAACATCCTTTTTGGGTCCCTTCTTGTGTATTGGTATTACATGAGCTACTTTCCAATCGTTAGGTAATAACCCCTCAAGCTAGGGTGACCATATTCCTCAAAGTAGAAAACGGGACATCCCAGCGGAAAGAAAGGGGGGGGGGTGCGGGCGTACTAAAGTTTGAGATTGAGAGGAAAATTTAATTAAATTCTACATGCGTCCTATATCTACATGATTCTACATCCGTGCTATATCCAGTAACTAAACAAAAATATTTCTACACACGCGTCTTCGCGAAAGAAAAAACGTTTGTGAGTAAGAACA